CATACATACATACATACATACATACATACATACAATATACATACATAGTTTTTCCTTTTTCTTACACATGCAGTTTTTATTAAGAATTATATGTTTTTTTTACCTTTTCCTTACACATGTGTTTTCATCAAGAAATGTATATATTCTGTTTTGCCTTTTCTTTATACAAGCCTTTGTTCTTTTTACATTTCCTCATCTGCTCTTTTCCTTTACTGTATGCATTTCTGCCTCATTATGCAAATGAGAAGGGCTGTCTTCTGGTCCAGCTCCTCTACTATTGGTCAATAAACAGGAAGGAGCGGGATCCACACATGGGATCCAGTTCACACTCCACATCAGTAGGTGGCGGTGATGCGCCTTATCGTTGTTTACCAATCGCCAAAAACAAGCCAAGAAAAAGAAGAATCCATGGTGTTCAGATCAATTGTGCATGTCTTTGGTTTCAGTTTATCAACCAAAGTATGGAGTGTAATATTTTCTGTTTGTGAGATTCAGGGATGACAAGCAATTGTGCATCGTGCCTCCATTTCTTTATTATTCTTCGTCTGCAATCTGCTGGGCGGGGACGTACAGTACATTTTCAACTTACATTACAAACGTCATCACGCATATCTGCGTGGCTGGATATTACATCCCCTTTCTTTTAGAGATTCAGAATGTCTCTTGGTCTCACTATGCGACCTGATCTTGTCTGTGTCAGAGATGCAGACTCTGAGTTTTGCTCGGTGTCCAGACTGGTTTGTTCTGAAGTGTCTGGTGATTCTGTTGTGGGACATTCGGCTTCAGCAACTTCAGGTGTTTGAATGAGTTGTCGCCTGTTTCGCCCGATAATGTGGCCGTCTTCTGTTCTGATGTGGTAGGAACATTTGGTATCTGCTGATCCAATAACAGTTACTGGCTTCCATGTGATGTTTGGCAACTGRAAACGAACAGCAGTTCCTGATGACAGGGTTGGTAGGGGTTGGGCAGTTCTGTCATAATACAGCTTTTGCCGATCTTGACACAGTTGTCTCCGACGGTGAACATCACTTTGGTGAATCAGCTCGGGTTTTAGTTGCTTGTCGGTGGATGGTAGGATGGAGCGTAATCTCCTGCTCATTAACAGCTGTGCTGGTGACTTGAATCCATCTATCAGGGTGTTTCTGTACTCCAACAGGCTGATGTTTGGGTCTGCTCCCTGCATGTGTGCCTTCTCCATGAGGGCCTTAGCCGTTTTTACAGTCCTTTCTGCCAAACCGTTGCTCTGCAGATACATGGGGCTACTTGTAATGCGCTTGAAGTCCCATGCTTTGGCAAAATCCTTGAACTCCTGCGAACTGTAGCAAGGTCCATTGTCACTGATTACTGTCTGCAGAATCCCAAACCTGGCAAATGTGGCTTTTAGCTCTTTGATAACCACTGATGATGTGAGGTTGGGGATCTTCTCCACATCAAAATATCTGCTCTAGTAGTCCACGGTGACGATGTAGTCATTGTTGTTCCATGTGAACAGGTCGGTTGCCAGAAGTTGCCAAGGCTGGTCTGGGATTGGTTGAGACAACATTGGTTCCTTTGGGACGGAGCTTCGGTGTTCCAGGCAGGTGCTGCATGACCCAACTAGTGTTTCTATTTGCTTTCCCATTCCCGGCCAAAACAGAACATCTCTTGCTCTCTGCTTACATTTGTCCATCCCTAAATGTCCAGCGTGTATACGCGGCAGTATTTCAGCTCTCAGCACGTGTGGGATGACAATCTTTCTCCTTTCAGAAGGATGCCATTTGCTTCTGAGATCTCATGCCTGATGTTGGGTTTAATGGTACATTTCCAAACACCTGATGAAATGTGTCTGCTGGTATGATGTTGGCCTGTGCCCCTGTGTCTATTTTGAAGCTGAGTTTATGTCTCTTTATTCCCACTTCCTGTTCAGATCAGTGTTTTCATTCCGTTTAGTGATGGAGCACACACACAGCTCTTCTTGTGGTTGGTCACAGCTGTTCATGACAGAATGCACTTTTCTTGGTTTAAATCTTTGTGGACGCTGTGGTGCTTGTGTCCTGCACACTTTGGCAAAATGATTAAATTTTTTGCATTTATTGCACTGGCGTCCTTTTGCGGGACATTCCTCCATGCGGCTATGTTTGCTCCCACATGCTCTGCATATTTTGTCACCAGAAGAGCCAACTTCATCACTGCGAGTTGTTTTGCTGCTACGTGCACAGATTGAGCTGATATGCTAGCTGGGGGGGTTTGTCATTGTCTTTAATTGCTGCTGTGACAGCTCAAATGATCTAGCAATATCAATTGTTTTTTCCAGCGTTAAGTCTGGACCTTGACATAGCAGTTTTTCACGGACTTTTGGCGAGTTAGTAGCAAACACGATCCTGTCTCTTATTATCTCATCAGTGTTTGGATAATTACAGTCTTTTGCCAGCAGTTTAAGCTCCGTCACAAACTGATCAAAACTTTAACTTTCTCCCTGAATCTTCTCGTGGAATTTATAAAGTGCAAAAATCGGGTTCGCTTTTGGTGTGACGTAGGCCTCAAAGTTATCATAATACGTTTGCAGTACCTTTCTCTGGTCCGCGGTGAGATTCCATGTGCTGAAAATGTCTCTGCCTTTTTCTCCTATCCACAGGAGCAGGTAACTAGTCATTTTGTATTCCAATAGAGACTAACAAAGTAAACAAGGATACTTTTTTATTGGGATGGCTAATGGGCTAGTACAAAGTACAGTATTTCTACATTTTCTTTTAACTAATCTACAACTGAATGGAGACACCGTCTTGCAAGAGGTTGATTTCATTTTTGGACACAAACTGTCTTCTGTCCTTTTTTAAGGTGATGCTGCCATTGGAGAGGGACTTAATAGACGTACTGTCAGCAGTCATGTCAAATCTTCAAAATGGATTCTTGCTTGATGATGAAACTGGTATGGTTGTTTTTTTGCATTTCTTGCACTGGCAGCTGTGGAGATTGTTTTGAAAAATGTATGTTAATATTCTTTTCAATTGTTGTTTGACAGAAGTGAAGACATTGCCTTTCGAGGGTGAGCAGGACCATCTCACTCCCTCTACATCAAGGTTGCTTTTAGACAGTGACTTTTTTATGGTTGCGGGACGAATTATCAGCCACAGTATTTTCAATGGTGGTCCTCGTCTGGTCAGTCTGAGCCCTGCAATCATGCATGTGCTGTTTGGAGGGGACCCAGAAACAGCCACTGTAGTTGACTCAGATTGTCACTGATGATGAAGTTAAGAAACTGATATTCAGTTCTGCTTTCTACTGAAGTGGCTAAAAAGAGGAAATAGTAAAAAAAAAATTAAACGACTTATATCTAGCAAACAACACTGTTCAGGGGCTTTTAGCATTGGCAGATAAAAATTCATTTATGGGAAATTCTTCCTGTAAATTTAGTGTGAAAAAAAAATCACCAGTGCCGAGACTGTTAGGTTTACAGAAAAGATTGCATTACAAATCTTTCTTTGTGAGGGTTTTAACAATTAGACATATCCACAAAATTCAAATACGCACAAGTAAAAGTTGCAATTCCTGGGTGAAAGTCTCTTCCTGTCCTCTTCTTCACCTGTTTTCTTGCACTCATTCACTGACATCCTGTTCACACCTGAATTCCCAGCTGTTTCTCATTTGTGATTATTTTTCTTGGTTTAGGTGGATTTTTTGGCAGATCATCTGTTTGTTTCTATTCACGTGAACTCAACTGCAGTTTATCTTTGTGCTTTATACTTTTGTTCCGCTAGGTAATTATTCCAAACCTCCTCTTTGTAACATAACCTCTGTGTCTGAATGTGATTGTGGACTTGGCCTGTGTTTGCACTGTAAATATGTTTTCAGCCACAATTCCACGACAGCACATCTAAAATCACTGTTCCTCTATCCCTGCTTTGTGGATTGATGGATTTTGATGAAACTCTCAAAGTAATCATTAAGTGTGTCTCTCTACAACTCATTAACGTTTGGAGTCAACTCAGTTCAGCATGGCTGCAACTAATTTGACCTTAGCTGACACAAAAATGGTTATAACTCTATAGGTTTTATAGATATTGAGATATGTTTGGTGTGATAAAAGCTGAGAGTCGTCCTCAACAGAAAGCTAACAAATTTAACAAGATCCCACGCACATTTAAGCTACAACTTTAAACCTTTAAGCACAAAATGGTGTTTAGTTTAAAACTCTAGCATGTCTTTTTAATTTTTGAAAGTGCTGGAAACAGAAAAGCAAACCTCAAAAACAACACACAAACGATTGGACATACTGTAAAATAGAAGCAGCAGATGAATAAACAAAGTCATCAAATGTTGCATTAGAAGTGAAAACAGTGTTATCCAGGATTCCCTAAAATAAACACAAAATAATTTTTACACAAGTATGTGAGAGCTCATACCAGAAGACACTGACACTGAGATGGTTCAGACACTCAAAGCTCTTCACGCTACAATCGGTGTCCTCATTTACACAGCACTATAGGTCTCTACAAAGCTAACTTGTACACTCATCTATGGAGACTAATCAGTGCCAATCACATTCATACACTGATGGGACATACATCAGAGGCATTAGGAGTGAAGTGCCTTGCCCAAGGACACAACAACAGGGACAGCTGGAATGGGGGATCAAACCAGTGACGTACCGGTTCCAGGACGACCCCCCCTAACCACTCTGCCACAGCCGCCCCCGTTTGTCTTTTCCACATCTCATTTCACCCTGAAAATCCCCTTTTTTATTTTAACTCCTGTTAGTTATCACCTTAAAATCAACGTGGGAGGAACCGGACATTGCTTAGCACAGATGAGTGAATAAGGAAGATGAGTAATGCGAATGTACAAACTGAAACATAAATGAAAATTTTTTTTATTTTAACTCCACAGAGGTGAATGTTATCTGAGCACAGATGTGTGTTATCACCTCAGCTATATGCAATACAAAATACACGTACCATAAGTACCATCGGCCAACTGAGGAAGAGGCTGATTTCAGCAAGTCATATTCATATAGAGGGGTTTGGACTGAAGCGCAGCACATCACCAATGAGCCACTGCCGGTAGCTGCAACATTTTCAGTGAGCTGGGTTCTTGGTATACTTCTTATACGTTCAACCATATTTAGCTTTTAGCTTTATATCTGTGGAGAACAATAAAAACCTTACAGCCAATCTAAACACTCATTTATCACTCTACTAAGTCGTTAATTCTTAAACATCCCTGCTTCTTGTGACCAACATTTGTTTGTTTCCACATTGTTTCAAACCATGGGTTTGCAGCTGCAAAGTTTGCTGGGTGTAGAGAATGTTTGTTTTCTCTAGTGATGGTGAGATGAAGCTTCATGATGCACTGAAGCTTTCATCCAACTGATCCACATGAGCTGAAGCATCATCATGCTTTGTTTGCTCTACTGTGCTATCAAGTGGACAATAATGTAAACCAGATTATAATGACAGGACTGGTTTGTAAAGCTTTGGGTTGAATAAAATTTCAAAAATAATTAAGTTTGTGATGACCATAAATAAAGTCTAAGTTTGATCTTTATCTGTCTTTATGATAGAATTACTTGTTCAAAAGTGATAGTGCATGGAGAAAAACAGGCAATTAGTTTTGATGTGAATGTGCTTGTGTGATTTTGAGACGGTGCTGATGATACTGGGGCCATACTTTTATTAGTTTGTACTAAAAACAACACATTGTTTCTCTTTTTTGAGATAGATGAGGTGTTGTTTCCAAGTTCCTTTGAACCCAACAGACACTTTACCTTTTAAGACACTGGCAATTAGAAGAAATAAGAACACAGAATTCACTGTGTTGTTATTTTAAAATTTTGGTAGTTATTATCAACAATGATTTATTACTATGTGCATACATCGGTATTGGTACTATTATTATTATTTGGAAACGGAGAAAATCTCATCTTCCTTGCTGGTTCTATTGGACAAAAAGTTAATCAACCAAGCTTTAACGCATCTTAGCAGGTACAGATAAAGAGTGAATTTAGCACAATGTCATGTCCTTACAGCCCCCTCCCCCCACACCCTGTAGTTTTATTTTATTTTATTTTATTTACAGATATATTTATTCCGTGATATTTTTAATGCAAAGAAAAAGGAATACATTTAATAATTGTGAAACACACCGAGTAAGTAAATAAAAAAAGAGTAGTGTCTGAGTCAGGTTAGTTTCAGAGGACTTGTTACCATGGAACATGCAGTATGTGCCTCTCCCTTAATACTTTATCCTAGTTTTGTGCAACAGGTCCCAGATTTCACAGGTCATCAATAATTTGAGGAGGTGCCTCCTCTCACCTTGCTCTCCATTTAAAGGGAAGTTCCATTCCTCCTCCCTTGTCATCACCCCTACCCAGGGTCATCACATGGCTCGAGTTCAACCAGTGAATGGCTCATAGCTTCATAGTTGTGAGTTAAAATATTTATATTTCTGAGGCAAGTTGAAGGAGGATGTCCAGTCTTATTCTGAGTTTTTCACAGTAATGTGCAGCTGTTGACGTGTCTGCGTCATGTGTTTTTCTCTGATGCTTTTATGGTCACATTTTGAGAAATCTGAGGTGAATTTGTTGGGTTAGTGAGATGTTGAAACATGACCACTGTCTTTTGTGTACTTTTTTTTAATTGTGGGAAAACATCTGTTTTTGGTGATCTCATCCCAGTTACTGTAAAATGCTGAAAAAATTTCAACAGTACTTCTGGTTAAAACTACTGTTTTATGAACGCTGACTCAGTTCTTAGGAATAAATTGACATTTAAACAACTGACACTGTAAAAAAAAAGGAAACAGGGCCATATAAGGAGAAACTCTCTTTCTTCACTATTCATTGGCTGATGATCAAAGTACCTTCCTATATTCTCATTCACTTTCCTTTAAATAGTAAGGGAATGAAGCACCTTCACCTCATCTCTTTTAGTGTGAAAGCTGCACAATCCTTTAAGCATGAGGTCCCTGGGCTTTTTGTAGAGGACCTGGATGTTTTTTAAGCAACTCACACTCAGTTTTTAAATAAAGGATAAAAATGTACTATATTGGCAAGGCAAGACACTTTATTTGTGTAGAACATTTTATATCCAGGAGGAAACTCATGATGCTTTACAGAGAAAAAAAAAACAAGTTTTCAAAAACAAGGCAAAACTAGTTATGCACAGACACACACACACACACACACACACACACACACACACACACACACACACAC